GTGACATTAATTTAAAAATAATAAACACATTTGACTATGTGGAACATTTGAATTTTTGCAATGTTAGGGTAAGAATAGGTTGTAAACAGTTTTCTCTCCAAGCCTCCAACTGCTGCCCTTGAGTGTGACTCACAGCAGCCCCATTGGAATTGATAGTTAAACCCCCAAAATATAATAATATAAATAGAATAAAATAAAACTTACTCAATTTTTATCTGACTCAAAGTATTTGCATCACTTCCTAGTTCTTGCTTTCTTAATTAAGTGCTATAGTAAACTATACTCAGAAACTCCAAATTTAGGACAAATTTTATTTTCTAAAAATGTGTAAATTCTGTTCCTTCACTTGTTTCCTGTTTGGCCTTTCAATTATAGTTTTTAATTTGGAAATAAATTTATGAAATTTGTTTAAAATAATCAACTTCTGGATTTCCAATATTGTTAATTAACTGAAAATCCAGATTCTTTTAAAAAATAAAATAACTATTCTGACTTACTGGGGTCCTATTATGATTGTTGAGTTTCTAATTAAGAAGACATTTGTAATATTCTTATTCATTCATGCATTTATTCCTTAAGCATTTAGTGATTGTGTTTCACATATAAAGTGATGTGCCCATTACTGAAAGAATATAAAATGATTTTGTCTGTCCTCAAAGAGTTTATCTTCTAATATTGAAGGAAAGTCATCTATACAAATTGTGTAACTAGTATGTTTTTGTTGTTGTTGTCGATATCCTTCGAGTTGAGCACAATTCATAGCAACCCTATGAACAAAAGATCTGAATCCTTTTTATAACTATTTATCAAAGTTCATAGAGTTTCTGGAGGCATGTTGCTTAAAAAGTGGATGCCACTCCTGCTTCCAGATTACTAATATATAACCCAAGAATTTAATCAAAACCAAATAGGCAATAATTTGCAAGAATGATGCCATTGATTGCAAGATTTAACCAAATTTAGCTGTTTTTATCTCTCTTTAATATCACAATTTCTAAAATCTCAGACTTGAAAATAAATTTGTAAATTACTCTGAATCGCCTGTTTAAAGTTAACAGAGTTCACTAGAATGAACAGAACTAGCTTCAGAGATGATAATCAAGATGACCTTTAAGGGTGTTTATTCTATGGTTTTGTATCTGTCCATAAGGAGAATTGTTCATTTGAACTTGCTCCTAGGCCTGTCTTTTATTTAAAAATGTCTTGATGTATCACATCAAATTAAAGAAAGAAGTCGACACAGACAGTTGTTTAGAATGTTATGAAACCTGATTGTAATTAGCATCCTTATTAGAAAGAAAACAAACAACTTTGTAAATTCACAGGAGAGCCTCTTAGGATGTATATTCTTTGTTATGGCATTCAGAAATTCTCTTTTTAACTTTTTGGTTTTACATCTTCCAAAGAATTTGAAAAATAAAAAAGGTTTTCATTCCCAATAGATTCTGGCTTTCAGCATATCTCATAATTTTCACTGCATTTGAAATAGTTTTCAGTCACACTGATAGAAGTGTAGTTCAAAAAACTACTGAAAATGATTGAAAAGAGAGAGATGTAGTTTTATTACTGGATCTGTTTTAAAATAAGTTTCTACAGAATGAGTTACAGGCAAAACAGATTGAGGGGCTTTGATTTTTCCTTTGACCTTTCATTTTGCGGTCTAATGCTCTCTCCTTTATCTCTGCTGAAGCTACAACTTTAATGTTCTAATTTTGTTATTTGGGACATGTCTGATAAGGGATTTATATCTAGAATTTATAGAATACTCGAGAACCACAACAAGATAAAGGTAAACAATGCAAAATGTACAGAATGGGCACAGTATATGAACAGACACTTCACCAAAAAAGACATTCAGATGGTGAGCAAATACATGAAGAAGTGTTCAAAATCTCTAGCTCTAAGAGAGATACAAATCAAAACAGCTATATCATCTCACCCCAGTAAGAATAGAAAAATTCAACAGAGCAGCAAACAACAAATGCTGGAGAGGTTGTGAAGAAACTGGAACCCTTATTCACTGTTGGTGGGAGCAACCATTATGAAAGGCAGTATAGCGCATTCTTAAAACGTTGGAAATAGAAGTACTGTTTGACCCAGCAATTCTACTACTGGGAATATACCCCAAAGAAAGTATAACTGCCAACCAGCAGATATATGCACACCCATGTTTATTGCAGCTTTGTTCACAATAGCGAAGAGTTGGACACAAACCAAGTTCCCATCAGCAATTGAATGGATAGAGAAGCTGTGGTATATTCACACAATGGTGTATTATGCAGTACTGAAAAACAAGGAACTCGTGAAATATTATATAGAATGGGTGACCCTGGAGGATATTATCCCAAGTGAAGTATCTATGTCACAGAAGAGCATTCTATTCTTGCCTCATTTGAGGCAAAAATTATGAGGCTTTATCCCACCTACTTTGGGCATGTTGGTAGGAGAGGCTGTTTCTTGGAGTGCGACATGATGCTTGAAATGGTGGAGGGTCAACAAAGGAGAATAAGACCATCAACCAGGTAGACTGACATGGTGACTGCCATAATTGACTCTAGTGTGTCAGGAAGTATGAAGATCAAAGCATGAAGACAAAGTCCAGATCTGCTGTTCATAGGATCGTTATGAGTCTTCCTGTCCTCAACGGCACCAAACAACTGAGTTGACTATGGCCCATAGTGATCTGTTGAACACCAATGCTATCCTGATGACCTCCTCCATGCTCAAGCCCCTTGTTGCAGTCCCTGTGTCAATCTATCCCATTGGGAGATTCCTTTCATTCTCTGACCTGCTTTTCCTAGCATGCTGTCTTTTCCCAAGAACTCATGCCAACATATCGAAGTGTGTGAGACAAAATTTTACTGTCCTTGCCTCTAAGGAGCACTTTGGTAGCACATCCCCCCAAGACAGACCTATTTGTTCTTTTGTCAGGCCTTGGTATAATTAATACTCTTTGATAATACTACAATTCAAAGGTGTCAGTTCTTCAGTCTTCCTTATTTATTGTCCAGCTTTCACATGCATAGGAAATAATTGAAACACCGTACTTTGAGCCACATGTACCTTAGTCTTTAAGTTGACTGCCTTGCTGGTTAACACTTTAAGCCCTTGATAGGGGATATATCCAGTACTGTATGTCTTTTGTTCAAAATACTACTCTTCTAAAGGGTAGATTGACAGTGGCCTTCAATTCTTTATAGGAATGAATGTCCTTATTATAATAAATGAAACTGTAGAAGAAAGGGAGAGCTTTAGTGACAGTAAGGTCTCTGAGTGCCTGTGTAAACACTTTGAACGTTTATGAATTTAAATAAAATTCTGGATAATTTATCAGGTATAAAACTTTATTAGATTTAGTTGCTAGTTACTAAAATCTCAGTTAGTGTGACAAGTTGATTCACTGGAAAATAACATAAAACTATGTATGATAAACCCTCAGTAGCAAAAGTTCTATGGCTTGATATGGTATATTTTAGAGGCAGGCCATTTTTATTTCCACTTTTATTAATGGAATTGTGGGAAGCGTTCTGTTGCTTTAAAGCACTCTTTGTTCCTGTTCCAGTTGTGGGTTGAACATGCAAGAAACCACTGCACACCATCTGTTTTCGGCTTCTGTCTAGCAGTAGATGTCATTCAAAGATTGTCTGGAATTTATCTGATTTTGATAATGTTGTGCAGAGCAGTGCTAAAAATAAAAACAGAGTTGTGTCCATGACTAGCAGCTTACGTCACCATTGTTGTTTTTCAGTCGCAGTCCTGTGCTTTGTATGGTGGTTAAATTTTCTCAGAACAGTGCCATTCCATTAGTGTAATCTGGGAATGCTTGAACACAGAGTCTGGTTTGGTGTAATTTTTGTTTATTTGATGTTTAAGTTATTTAGCTCATGCAAGCAGCTAATGTGGTCTACAGGAATAACATGTGATGCATTAAAGATTGTTATGGAAGTTGTCAAGGATCTTATTGTGCTTTGATCCATAATCAGTGATTGTGGAAGCAGTTGTTGTTGTTTTTACCATCAGGTCGGAACTGACCCATAGCTGACTCTCTGGTGGATTTTCAAGGTAGTTAATAGCATGGGAGGAGTTTGCTCATCCTTCTCCTGCAGAGCGGCTGGTGGCCTCGTACCATGTGCCTTTGGGATTGCAGCATAGCTTCTTGCCACTAGGCCACCAGAGCTTCCTTGTGGAAGCAGTAGTCAAAAAATGAAATGATACAGTGTCCTAGGTAAATATGCGGCAAAAGGTCTAAAAAAGATGAGTGAGTTTGACAGAAGTCATAACATTATTAATCACTTACTGAACAACAAATAAGGTAGAATGAAGATGAATTGTTGAATTTGAATTATGAGGTTGTCAAAGAATAATGCATAAAGCATGACGGCCAGAAGAATGAGTAAAAACTCTGTTGGGCTAAATATAGCCAGAATGCTTCTTAGATGTGAGAATGGCAATATTTGATCTTAATGCACTGTAGTCATGTTATCAGGAGGGGTCAAACCCTGAGAAAGACATCAAATTTGGTAAACCAGACGGTCTTTGGGAAAAAGTAAGAGCATCGAGGATATGAAGCCCTGTTTTACTTAGTCCAAGACTCAGGAGGTGGTCATGAGTGGGAATCAGCTCAACTGCAGTTGTGCTTTAGTTGGGTATTTTTTTTTTTTCCGGATCTAGAGGATCACCATTTATTTTATGGTGATGAAGAAATTTTCATCTGTCTTTTGATACTCGAAGATACCAGACTTCAGTGTAACACCCACTTGTGCTTCTTAGAATTTATTTCGATGAAACAGATTCCTAGAGGACACAATTCTAGAATCTCTTCTGAATGATATTATAGCAGTTTCATAAGAACCTGATAGCTATATATGCTACTATAATAGATTTTTTACCCATCTAATGCGCAAAGAAATTTGCAAATCACTTCAATATTATATATGAAGATCACTTCAAGGTTATAGGCTACAATTTAATTATCTTGTTGTTCTGCTTTTCCTTCCTAGATATTAGACCAGTCATGTACTGAAATCCTGGAATTGCAGCCATCAAGTGTCTGTGTAGGGGGTAAGTATTTAGAATGTAAAAATACTATGTTAAAATTTGTGTTTTTTTTCCTCTTAGTTAAAATATATGATTTGAAACGCATGTTGGAAAGAGAATAACAAAATTAACTTTTTTGGCACCCTTTTCTGTAAGAATTTTTAAATAATTCCTTGAAATATTTCTATTTTAAATTCAAATTTTTAAGATTGGAGTGTTATTTTAAATAATGAGCATATTGTGTGACAGGCTTTTAGAATCGTCTATATATTTAGTACATGTTTGAGACCTTTCCTATGGCAAATAAAATAAAATATGAAATTTTTTCTTTTATTTGATCATACAAAGAATCCTCTTTATGGGCATTTGAACTCAATGCTTTGATGACCTGGCTAAGGTACAGTTTCTGCTTGCTCAGTGTCCTTAAGGAAGTGACATATGAGCAGATGGCAGGAAGGAAGCAGCTGTGCTAAGAACAGACCTCAGGTTTTAGCACCTCCCAACCATCCTTATGCAAAGAGAATGTGCTTCCCCTTTGGCCTATTTAATTCTTCTTCAGGCAGAACCTGGAGTTCTTTTAACTTCATGTAGAGTTCATACAGGAAACCAAAATATAGGGTCTGATCTGAAAGGAAATATTTTGTGTAATTGCTACAAATCCTTTTCACATTTTACAAATGGTGTTGGACTTTGGACATTATAAGATCTCTGGTGAATGATTACTGAAATGTTAAAGAGAAATAGGATGCAAACAGATAATAAAGAAATAGAGCACACCAATTTCTCACATGACAGTGTAAAAGAAATGGAAAAATAAGATGTGGTGGTTGTTGCTTTTTAAATTAGGCACATGTTTGATGCTTTGCACTTTAATTCTACTGAACATACATAACAACATTATTTGATGATTTTATTATCTACCCTTTAAAGATGAGGAAACTGAGGCATTGAAGGTCTTAGTAATTGAGTGATTAGTCCCTTATCTGTCCAAATCTAAAATAGGCTTTCTTTTATTGAATCTTTTAATACTGCAGTTCTTTCATAGTTAATTACTGTATGTGTTGATTTAGGTTAATAGGGCATGGTTGAGATGATTTAGATTTAATATTAATATAAAAATTATGATAAACAGCAACCAAATTGATGTTATTAAGTATTGAATTGTTTTTGTACCTGTAAGTAATGCCAGTGGAAGCATTGTTGCTGCAGGGCCCAATGAGTCAACTACAATTCATAGGAACCCTGTGAAAAACAGATCTGAACCTTGTTCTATCCTGTGTCATCATACTCAAGGTCTCCTTCATGCGCAAGCCAATTGTTACTCTGTCAATCTGTCTCTTCTTGGTCTATATGTAGGTTTCACTTGAACACAAGTACTAGAATTATCATTTTTTTTTCAATGTTTACTCTTAATTTTTTATGCTCCACACAGTCAAATTTCTCTGCATAGTCAATAAAACTTTTGACAGGTAAACCTCTTCCTGCTATGGCCTGCTTTCAGCCAACAGTCATGTGACAGCAGCAGTGATATCTCTTGTGCCATGGTCTTTTTTGAATTCAATTTGAATTTCTAGCAGTTTTCTGTTATTGCATGCTTAGCCATTTTTTAATAATCTTCAGCAAGATGTTACTTCCATGTGATATTAATCATATTGTTCAGTAATTTTCTACTCTGTTGAACTACTTTTTTTTTAAAATAAGGACAAATATGAATCTCTTCCAGTATCTTGGCAAGATAGCTGTCTTAAAAATTTCTTGGCATAGACTGATGAGCACAAGTAGGGCTGCATCTGTTGTTGAAACATGTTAATTGGTGTTTTGCCAATTCGTGGGGCCTTATCTTTGTCAGTGCCATCAGTGCTGCTTGGACTTCTTCCGTCAAAATCATTAGATCTTGATCCTTTACTACTTCCTGAAATATTGACCAGTTCTTTTTTGGAACAATGACTGTATTCCTCTATCTTCTTTGTGGCTTCTGCATCATTCGAGATTTTGCCCATACAATCCTTCTGTGTTGCAACTTGAAACTTGAATTTCGTTTTCAGTTTTTGAGCTTGAGAAATGTCAAGTGTGTTATTCTCTATTTTGGGTTTCTAACTCCAGTTTTTTACACATTTTGTAATAATACATTGCTTTGTCTTCACAAGCTGCCCTTTGAAGTCTTCTGTTCAGCTCTCTTTTTACAGGATTTATTCCCCTCTGTTGACTTCTTTTCATTCTAGTCCAAGTTTAAATGTCTCTTCTGAAACCCATCTTGCTCTTCTTGTTTCTCTATTTGTAATGACCTTTTACTTTTTTCATGGGTGATAAACTTGCTATCATCCCACAAACTCGTTCAGTCTTCCATCATTAGTGCCCATCACATATGCTCTTGAGATTATTTTTAAATTCAGTTTAGATAGACTCAAGATCGTATTTTGGTTCTTGTGAACTTGCTTTCATTTTCTTCACCTTGAATTTGAACTTGCATAGGCTTTGGTTTGGTTTTTTTGTTGTTGTTAATGTCAAATACCATTGGTTGAGTACAATTCTGAGTCACCCTATGAATGCAGATATGAACCTAGTTCTAGCCTGTGCCATTCTCACTCTCTCTGACACACTCAAGTTCATTATTGCAGTCACTGTGTTAACTCACCTGGTTGAGGATCTTTCTTTCACCATCCTTCCACATTTCCAAGCATGATGTTCCTCGCTAATGAATAGCCTTTCGTAGCAACATGCCCAAAATATGTGAGACAAAGCTTTATAATCTTTGCCTCTCCGGAGAATTCTGCCTGCACCTTCTCTAATACATGTCTGTTCTTTTGGTAATCCATGATATATTCAGTACTCTTTACCAGTACTATAGTTCAAATCAATTCTTCTTCTGTTATCCTTATTACTTGACTAGCTCTCAGAAGCATAACAAGTGACTGAAAAGACCATGGCCTGAGTAAGATGCACCTTTGTCCTAAAAGTGACATCATTACTCCTCAATAATTTGGAGAAGTTACTGACTAGCCTTTTTCTAGTGTGATCAGAATTCCCTGATCTCCTGACTGCTGGTACCAAATAATTACTGGTAATGAGCTTCTGTAGTGTCCCTTTCCACAGATGTAATCAGTCTGATTTCTGTATAGTCGAACAAACGAGGTCCAAGTGTATAATTGCCATTTATATTTTAAAAAAATATTTGCAGTGAATAAATTATTTACTGTAGAAAATGCAATCAAGTAATGTTCAGCCTCATTTCTATCACTCAGGCCATGTTCCCTATTTTCTGTTTCTTCTTTGTAACTTTTGCATTTTAGTCACTAATTATTTTCAATCAACTTCAAACTTCAAAAGTAGCTAGAAATTCTTAATTACTTCATATTTGTTTTTAATGGTTAGTGCATATATTAGAATAATAGTTGTATTAACAGGATTTCTTGGTTTGTGTGTAAATAATATCCTGTCATTGACAGAACTGTTGTTCAGGATAGAACTTGAAATAGTATTTTTTTGAATTTTTTTCCCTTCAAATTTATTTTTATTTATATTGGTTTTCATAAAATTTGTATATATTATTATTATCTATAAACATTTTGTTGCATACATTTCTCCATTCACATTGTGTTTCAAAAAATCACTCTTGTACACTGTGTTATAAAATTTATCAGCATTGATCTATGGCTGCTATTACCCTGTCTTTTCAGATCCCCATTGGATCTTTCTTAATTCCTTCACATTCTCCACTCTACTCACCAAACTCTGTTATCCTAATTATTTACTCCCTTCTCTACCCTATACCCTCCAACACTTGCCCCTTCCTCTTTTGGACTTTTATCCACATCTTACTACGTATCCTTCTATTTTTATAATAATACTTTTATGCAGTATTTGTCCTTATTCAGTATAATACTCGCCAGATTCGTATACAATACTTTGTAAAATTATTGCTCCTGTGTGCTGCATAGTATTCTATTGTGAGAATATATCATACTTTCTCAATCTGCTGGTTTGTTGATGGATATTTGGACTGTTTCCATTTTCTTGTTATTGTGAATAATGCTGCTATGAACAAAGATATATGAATCTCCATTAGTGTTTCAGTTCTGTTTTCCTTGGGGTATTTCTTAGCTGGTTCATATGGAATTCCTATGTTCAATTTTTTGAGGAAATGTCAAACTGACTTCCAGAGAGGTTGTACCATTTTACAATCCCATCAGCAGTACATGAGAGTTCTAAGCTCTCCACATCCTCTCCAACCTTTACTGATTGCTATCCTGTTGAACTTTACTACTGCTGCTCATGTAAGATGGCATCTCATTTTCGCTTTGATATGCATTTTTCTTACTGCCAGTGGTTTTGAGAAATTCTTCATGTCTTTTGACTATCTAAATGTCTTCCTTTATGAAAAGTCTCCATGTCTAATGCCAATTGTGTGATTAGGTTATGATTCTCTTCCATGTGAGGGTCCTGTAGTGTTCTGTAAACTTTTTTTTAAATGAAAAATGTTTTAATAATTAATGTTTAGACATTTAACATTGTGGGCATATCCAGAGGAGCTAAGCACACATTGATTGACAGCACACTATCGAATGTTATTTTTTTCTGTATTGACATAAAGACAGCTGCAAACTAGTACCTAGGAAGGAAGATATACAAGTATACACATTCTAGGGTTGGCAAGGTCAATGTAAACAGATGTTGTGACTCTTCCCAAACAACACCCACAAAACTAGTAAGAGAACCCATCGGTTCCCTAGAATATGAATGTGCAAAATTAAAAGCATGGTAAACTGATATTTACATACATATCAAGCCAACAATTAGTTTATACATTGTCGATGACTAAGATAAGTCATGTGTGGTTCAATGTATGCTTTCTCTTTTCAATGAAGGTATTTGGAGGCTAAATTCCAACATGTTAAAATGACACACACATTAGTTCTTATCTGGCTGAACACTGCCTCAAGTGTGTAAGACACAATTTTACAATAAGCAGTAGATTATGTTTAAGCAATGTTTAAACAATCTTTAGATTTTAAGCAGGAAAAAAA